TTATTATAAACAGAGCATTTACTTAAATTTTTTATTTATAAAAAAAAAAAAAAAGTATGTATAAACATAAAAAATGTCTTAAAATAATTGTCGGACTTTGTCCATTTCATAATATATATATATGTCTCAATTTGAATTAAATGATCTTTGAATTTTCAATTTGAGGCTGGAATTTGTACACTTTTGAAAAAAGAGGCTGAGATTCTGCCTCTCCCCTCCGGGTTTCAGTTTTGGATTCATACGACGCATAGAAGGCCTACTTTGCTTTTTGTTAAGGTCTCAGATCATTAGAAAAGAGTGCAATTTTAGTGTCTTGTCATGGGCGCCACTTTCCACGGACACGTCTCCGATGAACTGATGTCGATATTCCTGTCAGTGAGACCGAAAATAGAATGTTTACAAGAATTTACTTTCGGGTCCACAAATAAATCGGAAAATTCTTCATGCTGAAAACACAAATCTACAACTTCAATGAATATCTTTGTCGCACATGTTTTTCAACACATTATCTGAGAGAATTCTCTCCAGACATCAGCAGGGAGTGTCGAAAAGCGCCTGACTTTAGTGGAAGGGCCCACTTAAGTGCGACTCCCTTAAAATAGCCAGCAAAAACCTTGGGGTCAAGCGGATTAAGCCTCGCCGATTTCTGACCTTGTTCAGTTAAGGGCAATGTCATTTAGAATAACTTATCTTACAAATTGCCTCGAACTGACCCATGAGCAGAGTTTCCACAGACGCCACCCGGATGACCTTGTACTGAGGATCTGTTTGGTGTTTATAGATATTTAATAAGATTGACAAAAGAACGGAATAGTCTCCTATTGGGCGATCATGGCTCTCTATATGTCTATTCTAATAATATGCATCGTCTTGTGGCAATGACATTTAGATTAATTTATTTTCAAGATTACCACGCGTTAGTCTTTGCGAAGAGCTTCCTCTGACGCCGCCCGGGTTATATTGAACTGAGAATTTGTTTCAAGTTTGTAGATATCAAATATTTGACAAAGAATATTATACGTTGTGTCCGTTCAGGATGTGAACGATCATGCCTCTCCACAACTACCTACAACTTGTAGCTCTTAGCAACGTTTGTCTTTTTTACATCCTGCGTCCCGTCATCCATTCGCGCAAGCTAGTCATGTAGGTGGCGCGCTGACACCTGTCCATTTGCCTTGTCCTGTGAGTGTCAAATTCTCCAAGCATTCCTTCCTCATTATGTATCTATTTTTGATCTTGCTGGTGATTTGTTGTTGTTGACGACGAACTTGGTCGTCTTAAATTTTTTTTGATAAATAGCTTTAGCTCTGGTTGACTGGAGTTCTATATTTCTTAATAGCGATTTTCCAAGCGTAGCTTAGGTGTGGCACAAAGCCGAAAGTATGGGGCACCCAGTGAGAATCGAACTCACTACTCAGACGTAATTGTTCTAGCGAGACAAGCTTGCTAACCATTACACCACCTCGAGGTGCCAACTAGTGATTTTCTAAGCCCAGCTTAGATGTGGCACAAGGCCGAAAGTAAGGGGCACCCAGTGAGAATCGAACTCACTACTCAGACGTAATTGTTCTAGCGAGACAAGCTTGCTAACCGTTACACCACCTTGAGGTGCCCCATTTCTTAATACAGTGTAACCCGGATATAAGGGACCCGGATATAAGAGAGATTTTCTCTGGTCCCAAATTAGAGCCCATACTTACCTAAACAAAATAGACCAAACCCGGATATAAGAGAAACCCGGATATAAGATACTTCTTCTCCGGTCTCTCTTATATCCGGGTTACACTGTAGTATTTCTAATAGCAGATTCATCCTACTTATAGTTAACATGCATTTGATATTTATAGAAAATGCTAATATCATGGAGACTCAGGATACCCTATATCCTGTAGTGTAAAAGCAATTAAAGCCCATCACTTCACACACTTTTCCATTCTTCCCTCCCGGTACCATTAATTCTTAGTTTTGGTCTTTGGCAATCATTGCTTTATGTTAAAAGGCAGGTCGTTTGGCGGCAGGCTCGAAAGTCATGGTTTTATTTCGTTTCTAAAACGTTGTTTTGCTTGGGTTTACGACAAGCAAAGGAGCAGACACTCGAACGATGATAGATTATTCATAATTTATTAAGTTATTATAAAGGGAGTTAATAACTATGGGATACTTCAAGCTAAAGAGGAAGAAACCTGAAAAGGCAAACTCATTTTCATATCCGATTTACGAAGACAGAATTTGTAGTTGTCAACGCGAGGAACAGACAACCCAAGGTGATAGCTCGGAATTTTCTACCAACTCCTAGAGGGCGATGTCGCCCACTTTGGGAATCGTAGGTGTAAATTGACGACTGAAAAGGGATTAGATTGATGGTAAGAGGAAACAAAAATTGCTTAGTGCTGCAAGATACAAGAAATTGTGGAGAGTCCCAAAAGGACACGTCATATTAAAGAAAAAAAAACAGAAAGTTAAAAAAAAGGCAGCGATGACTTAGAAATTAGGGTTTAATTTCTTCTCTGAAATGTTCGCTTGTTTGGGAAGTTTTACGTTAAGCAACAAAAAAGACCGACCCCGAAATAATAAAGCGTTGTCTATTTACAATGTTCGGGCTATCGTCTTCATTGTATGCTCCGGCCTTGTTCAGGTGGTTGGAACGTCGAATTGAACCATTTATTTCGCTCGCTGGGGTAGACTGTTCTAATTCCACGTGCCATGTCTAATGGATGTCAGTTATCAGTTATCACCTGTTAATTCCCCTCCCCAAGTTCTTCACCTCCTTAAGCAGGTATTGAACTCACACTCTTTGGGTCTTGTCACTGGATCTAACTAACGCCTTTATCCACTGTGCCATGCCTACTTAAGGACGTCTGCGTAAGAATTTCTGGGACTTATAAAATTAATGACTTGAGCAACCATTTTTACCAGTGCTTATATTGCAATGTTTGCTGTTATGATTGCATTTTTTTTTACTAGAGCTCATATTGCAATTTTTGTTATTATTGCACTCCTTATTATTGGTTCCCATATTGTATTCATTTCTATGCTTGGTCGGCTCAGGAGATTTTTGTGGTTTAGCATATGTGCTGATTCCTTAAGCTGACGAATTTTCCAGTGATGTTCTTTGTCTATGATTTCAACCTGATCCCACAGAGGGCGGTGATCTCCCTTTTTTCTCTATATGTGGTCAGCCACGCCTGATTTTTCCACTTCCCCTCGTGTTACAGCTGACATCAATTAGATATGGCACGTGGAGCTAGAACAGTCTGCCCCAGCGAGCAAAATAAAACGGTTCAGTTCGACATTCCAATCACCTGAAGAAGGCCTGAGCGTACAGCGGCCAAAACGTTGTGATAAATATGGCAACAAAGATGAGGACGATACTCCGAACAATGCTAATAATGTACATAATACCTCATCTCAGAAATATAGACAGATAATAAATCGTTGTCTTGATACATTTAAAATCGATAAATTTAACCATTTCTTTCAAGAAGGAGAACAGATTATGTGATTCTTTAATCTAAAAAGGGAGATGAAGAGATTAATATACTAAAAACTAATATCCTTATCCAATGTCTGTTTATCGAGCTGAGATTTGTATGTCACTCATTGATTAACGCTTGCATCTGACTGAGACGTTCTCTATACTAAATTTAAAATTTTTTGTTTTTACGGTTTTAGTAAAAGCAACTTTTTTTTTTATTTTTAAAAGAAAGTAGAAACACAATTCAAAACGTAAAAACCAATTTTTTATTTTTTTAAAAATATTACAAATATGACTCAACTTTTATTAAATATATGCCATAAATTTTATTAAATATATGCCATAAAGATCTAGAGCACAATTTTATTTTACTACATCCGCGTCCTGGGTATGACGATAAACTATATCCGCGCCCTGGTAAGATGATAAACTACATCTGCGTCCTGGGTATGACGATAAACTACATCCGCGTCCTGGGTATGACGATAAACTACATCCGCGTCCTGGGTATGACGATAAACTACATCTGCGTCCTGGGTATGACGATAAACTACATCTGCGTCCTGGGTATGACGATAAACTATATCCGCGCCCTGGTAAGATGATAAACTACATCTGCGTCCTGGGTAAGACGATAAACTACATTCGCGTCCTGGGTAAGATGATAAACTACATCCGCGTCCTGGGTATGACGATAAACTACATCTGCGTCCTGGGTAAGACGATAAACTACATCGGCATCTTGGGTAGAACGATAAACATCTTTGTCGCCATATTTATCCAATCCTTCAGTATCTGTCTATATTTCTGCGATGAGGTATTATGTACACTATTTACATTATTCGCACTATTGTCCTCATCTTTGTCGCCATATTTATTACAACGTTTCGGCCCTTCAGTATCTGTCTATATTTCTGAGATGAGTTATTATGGACACTATTTATATTATTCGGACTATTGTCCTCAACTTTGTCGCCATATTTATTACAACGTTTCGGCTGTTGTACGCTCCGCTCACTGGGGTAGACTGTTGTAGTTCCACGTGCCATGTTTAATGGATATCAGTTATCAGTTATCTCCTGTTAATTCCCCTCTCAAAGTTCTCCACTGCCTTAACCGGGTATTGAACTCACACTCTTTGCATCCTGTCACTGGATCTAACCAACGCCTTTATCTACTGTGCCATGTGTCCTTGAGGATTAAACATGGCACGTGGAACTAGAACAATCTTCCCCAGTCATGGAAATAAAGGGTTCAGTTCGACATTCCAACCACATGAAGAAGACCGGGGCGTACAACGGCCGAAACGTTGTAATAAATATGGCGATAAAGATGAGGACAATAGTCCAAATAATGTAAATAATGTTCCTACCAACCCTTTTATAAAAATACCCCGTTTATTGCACATTAAGTAAAATTCCAACCACCCCGATTAATAAGAAACCCTCTTATATTAGACTCCTAAGCGTACATGCTTACAGCGACACTTTTTATTCGTTTTTCGTCTCTGTGTTTTTCTTTCTAGTTTTTTGTTCATCACTTTCATTCTTCAAGTTTCTTGATTTTTCCTTTCATTCTATTTTTCTTTTTCTTCCTCATTTGTTAAGTTTCTTCATTTTCTCTTTCTTTCTATTTTTCTCTTTCATTTTTAATGTTTTTTTTATTTTCTCTTTCTTTTATTTTTTGTTTCTTCCTTTTTTCCTTTCTTTCTATTTTCCTTTTTCTCCTTCATTTTTAATGTTTCTTCATTTTTCTTTCTTTCTATTTTCCTTTTTCTCCTTCATTTTTAATGTTACTTCATTTTTCTTTCTTTCTATTTTTCCTTTTTCTCCTACATTTTTAATGTTTCTTCATTTTTCTTTCTTTCTATTTTTCCTTTTTCTCGTACATTTTTAATGTTTCTTCATTTTTTCTATCTTTCTATCTTTCCTTTTTCTCCTTCATTTTTAATGTTTTTATTATTTTTTATTTTTTCTCCTTCATTTTTTGAGTTTCTTTATTTTCCTTTCTTTCTATCTTTCCTTTTTCTCTTTCATTTTTTATGCGTCTTCATTTTTTCTTTCTATTTTTTCTTTTTTCCTTCATTTTGTAAGTTTTTGATTTTTCTGTCTTTCTATTTTTCTCTTTCATTTTTTAAGTTTATTTTTTATTTTTCCTTTCTTTCTTTTTCACTTTTTCTTCTTCATTTTTTTCTTTCTTTCTATTTTCCTTTTTTTCTTCATTTTTTATTTTTCTTGATTTTTCCATTCTTTCTATTTTTTCCTTTTTCTTCTTCATTTTTATGTTTCTTTATTTTTTCCTTTTTTCTATTTTATCTTTTTCTTTTTTCATTTTTCTTCCTCATTTTTATGTTTTGTTTTATTTTTCTTTCTTTCTAGTTTTTCTTTTTTCTTCTAAATTTTACAGATTTTTTTTTCAATCCATGCTTATTCGTTCTCTTTTTCTTTCATGTTATTTTCTTTTTAGTCTTTTCAGATTTTACTTCCATCCATCATTATTCACACTCGTTTTTGTTTTTCTTTTACTTGTCTTTTTCTTCTTTTACTCTTTCGCTTTCCCTACGCATCTCGCTTGATTTTTCTTTCTTTTCATCCATTTTAGCCCCCCCCCAACTTCTTTATTTTTGTTCTTTAATTCTTCACGCCAAATTCTCACTTGAATCCATTTGTCATCATCATCATCATCATCATCATCAAAAAAGCAGCTTTGATGTGATAAATGAGTAAAGGCAGATTGCCGGAGACGAGAAGAAAATTGATGGGAAGACGAGGAAGCCGTGACGAGACAAAATACTTGAACCAAATCACAATGCCAGCTAAATGTGTTTACTTACGTCTGTTCGCAGTGGGGGTGGGGGTACCGGATTTTTGTTGTTGTTGTTGTTTTTGTGGCTTTCTTCAATCCGCACATAAGGAAACACGTGTATAAGGATGAAGGATTATGCGCGTGAAATAGATATGGCTAAAAACTATGTTAGATAGATAGATAGATAGATAGATAGATAGATAGATAGATAGATAGATAGATAGATAGATTGGACTAAAAGAAAGAAAGAAAGAAAGAAAGAAAGAAAGAAAGAAAGAAAGAAAGAAAGAATGGGATGAAAGAGTGTACAGTGTACAATATTATATATCTAGCTAGCGAGATAAATAACCATACAGTAATGCTAAAACAGATGGGCAGACATATCGATATGAAAAAAGATAGATAGATAGATAGATAGATAGATAGATAGATAGATAGATAGATAGATAGATAATGAAAAGGCTGGGAAAAGATAGATAGATAGATAGATAGATAGATAGATAGATAGATAGATAGATAATGAAAAGGCTGGGAAAAGATAGATAGATAGATACATAGATAGATAGATAGATAGATAGATAGATAGATAGATAGATAGATAGATAGATAGATAGATAGATAGATAGATATAACCAATCGGAAAGAAAGAAAGAAAGAATGGCTTAAAAAAAGCAATAAATATGTACACTGTATGAAACATATCTAGAGATACAATGCGGCAATGTCGGAAGAAAGATAGATGAAAAGATTATGATAGATCTAGTATATATGCACCATAAATTATCGCCTATTTTATTCTACAACCCCGTCTCCATGCCATTCGTGACTAACCCGGTGAAACGGACGGATGGATTGGGATGACATGTAGAGGCGTTTGTTCTTCTTAACAGCCACTTTCATGGCATACACGTTTTCCGTTTTACATTCTTTTATTTATGTGTGTTAGCGCGCATATGTCTTGAAAGATTTATTGTTATGGGTAGTTACTTAAATTAACTTAATCTGGCTCAAGGTCAACATTGGGGAGCAATTTGTGTGGAAGCAATACGAAACAGTAATGGTTTGCTTACTGTGTTCGCTTGTTAAATCTTACAACGAATGGAAACGGTCGAAACATTTTTTTATATATACAGTGTAACCCGGATATAAGAGAAACCCGGATATAAGAGAGATTTTCTCTGGTCCCAAATTAGAGCCTGTGTTAATGTATATAAATTAGACCAAACCCGAATATAATAGAAACCCGGATATAAGAGACTTCTTCTCCGGTCCCGACAACTTTCTTATATCCGGGTTACACTGTACAAAGAGTGCTAGATGAAAAAAAATACATATCATCCGTTGATTGTATGCTTGTGAAAAGAGTCGATTTTTACAATAAAATGAGAAAAATAAAGGAAGATCTGTTATTTATAAATACGACTAGCTCGCTGGATGGATAGACAAAGTGACACACAGACAGACTGAAATAAACTGACTGGGATATGTATGTGATCAAGATAGATAGATAATGAACCGGGATAGATAGATAGATAGATAGATAGATAGATAGATATGAAGAGACAAAGAAAGAAAGAAAGAAAGAAATCAACTTGGATAGATTCTTCTTTCTTTTATGTGTCGTGTCTCTTTAGGACGTAGGCGATCATGGCTCTCCATCTCTTCTTGTCCCTTGTAGCTCTCAATAAGTTTTGTCATTTTGTTATTTCTCCAAGCCCCTCTTCTGCCACCCACTTGCTTAAGCCCGCTAAGTATATCACGCGTTACTTTCCCTTGTCTCTCCTTTCCCTCTATCCGCCCTGTGAATATCATATTCTCCAAGTCTTCCTTTCTTATTATGTGTTCCAGAAATTTCATCAGCCTCTTCCTGATGTTAAATATAAGCTTCTTCCTTGTTTGCATCCTTTCCGAAATCTCATCGTTGCTCACATGTTCGGTCCATGGTATCTTTAGCATCCTTCTGTAGAACCGTACCTCTTTGCCTCGAGGCTTTTCTTCATCTTTGAGGAGACCGTTCAACATTGGCTGCCATAAAGGAGGACAGATATCACGTAGCAGTTTGGTACTCTTTTCTTTGTTACCAACGAAATCCTCTTGTCTCGTAATACTCTGCCTAGCTTTTGGAAGGTATCTTTGGTCATCCCAATACGTTATCGGATCTCAGCGTCGCACTTGCCGTCCTGATTGATTTTATTGTCTCCAACCTGTAAATCGCATATCGGGTTCATCTTTTTACTGATGACGCTACATTCTGTCTCTAAGTTTATGCTTGGCTCCTCATTCTCGCTTTTCTTCGATACCTTTTGTAGGAGGTTCTATAAATCCCTTTCCGTGTCTGTTATCAGCACTGTGTCACCTGCGTAGCTTATGTTGTTAATACAGTAGCTGTATTAAGTTACAGTCCACGCCGTCTGTCAATTAGCAGAGAGGAACCCGAACGAAGCTTTGCCGAAGGGCAAGGTTTCATTCGTGGAGGTTATGACAGCTCTCGAACTCGCCTAGGTGAGTCGAAGGCTATATTTTTGGCCGGACCTACGGGCTTGGGTGACCACGTAAAACTCGGCCTTCTGCCACATGCGACCCCACGTGGGGGGGGGGGCAGCTAAATATTGTAGCTTATGTTGTTAAGATTATAGCTACCAGTGATGAATCCTGGTAGGATTTCCAGTTCTCAGAGAATTTCCTTGCAGTATAGGTTGAATAAGTCTGGCGAGAAAACACCTTGCTTTACGCCCATTTCGATTTTTCTATATATGCTGAACTCATTCTTTTTATCCGTATGCAGGTCGTTTTCTGCCAGTAGAGGTTTTTGATTATTCTAATGTCATTCCCGAATATGCTGAGCGGCTCTAACAGATCTTGGTGGCGTACTTTGTCGAACGCCTTTACGTAGTCTATAAAACACAGGTGCCCTTTTTTTTTCTTTTTTTTTTATAACATTCTCAACATGAATATCGCGCTCCTTGTTCCTTTAACGAACCCGCACTCTTCTTGTCCTATCTCTGGCCTGATTCTCCTGCGCACTCTGTTCGTCAGAATACGGATGATGAGATTTTTTACGTGGCTCATTAGGCTGCTTGTTCGGCGGAGTTGAAATTTGTTTGCGCCTGGTTTCTTAGGCAGTGCTATGGAAATAGATCTGCTGAGATCTTCCGGTATATCACCACTGTTGTAGATTTCATTTATTATTTCTGTAATCTTATCTATGCCAAAATCATCTAAGGCCGTAAGCATTTTTGTTACAGTTCCGTCTGGCCCTGCCGCCTTGTTTCTGTTCACTTTGGCCATTGCAGCTTCGACTTCAGATTTTAGAATTTCAGGCCCGTCCGTAGTTCTGTGTATATAGAAAGAAAAAAAAAGAAAGACATCAACTGCTATACGTGGATAGATAGATAGATAGATAGATAGATAGATAGATAGATAGATAGATAGATAGATAGGAAGGGACTGAGATAGATAGATAGATAGATAGATAGATAGATAGATAGATAGATAGATAGATAGATAGGAAGGGACTGAAACAGATAGATAGACAGATAGATAGGAAGGGACTGAGATAGATAGATAGATAGATAGATAGATAGGATAGATAGATAGATAGATAAGGGACTGAGATAGATAGATAGATAGATAGATAGATAGATAAGGACTTTGCGAGCTTCTACAAATATTTTAGATATTTTCAGATTTAAATTCTATAACACTGTCAGTCTACCGATATTCTTACATTCACTTTGCATTTATACCCTTTGGAAAGGTATTGAACCATCTTTACCTACAAACTATGGGCAGTAAGTTTGACAATGCTTTTACCTTGGCCGAGCCACCCGAATTCAGAACAGTGGATAAGTCAACAGTGTACCACTTCATTATCTTTACCAAGAAGATCTATGACAATTCAAAAAATTTCAAAAGGAAAGGAAACCGTGGAAAACAACCCTCTCCTCTGACCTGAAGGTATAAGACATAATAGCCGATAGATTAGGTAACTTCAAATTTATCATCGGCACTAGTAATAGCCATGCCGTGAAACGCTGTTTTTATCTATTGTGCTGCACTGTGGTACGCTAGTTCGTGGTGGCTGAGCTCCTGTTCTACCCATCCACTTCTTGCTGGAACTAAACAAGATTTGTCCTCTTGGTCTCTGTCTATGACAATGCGACAGAGATGGGCTGGCTGTATCATTTATTAAGCAATTAAAAGCTTTTCTAATTAAATACTGTTTAGTATTACTGTATTTTTTTTTATTTTACGATTCAGAGCACATTTTTGATAGTTGGGTGTCCTGTCTTATAAAGAAAAGTTGATGCTTTAATTTCTCCAAGGACTTTTGCTTATAACTAATATAGACATTACGCCAATGATTTCCAACGTGGGGCGCTTGCTCTACCAGTGAGGCGCATGCCCTACCAGTGGGGCATGGCAATATTTTGGTGGGGCATGTGTAGGATGTGTACCCTTTGACTTACTATACCAACAGAATAAGGGGGCAATTCGAAAGTGAGTTATTAACAGTGAATTGTTTTCTAGTGAGCTCAAATTTCATTTTGCTTTATTATTTCATGATTAAAATGATCAAAGTATATTACAGAATAAACTTTCATTCAAATATTTTATATTTCTGCCTTTCAGTTCTCTATTATATATTTTGAAAGTATATATATTTAACTGTCTTTTTGTTTTTTTAAACTTTTTCTCTTTCATGGATGCCATGGTCTTTGGAAGCTTGTTTAGAGACCAAGTTAATGGCCTTTTAAGCTTCCTTCACGTGAATTGCAGTAAAATTTTGAATATGTAAAAATTAAATATTACAGACGGGGGCACCAGAATTTTAGAAATACCGAAGTGGGGCAAGGCCCCAAATCAGTTGGGAACCATTTCATTAAGCCCCACAAAAGTTAATTTCTCGAAATTTCATAAAATTAAATAAGTTAGGGGTAACAGATGTAAAGGAAATATTTTTATCAAAATTTTCTAAAAAGAAAAAAGAAAATAATTCTAAAATAATTTAATTCATTTGTGAATAAGTTCTGAAAGTTTCGCTTTTTTTCTTCATGTGTTGTATTACTGTAAGAAGTTGAATTTTCGCCTAGTAGTTTGACACGATTAGGGGTGTGGATAGTTTGTAGAAGGCTGTCTGTGAAAACTGTATTCTCTGAGTAAACCTAAATCCCTGTTTAATCCTTTAATATGTGATTCTATTTTGAAAATGTGTTTCAAATCCGATTTACGTCTTTCTTGTTGGTGAACTACTAGGCCAAAATCAAAAGCAGCAACAAAATTCCCAGGAAGAGTGAATCCCACTTCATTATTTATTTCACGTCTCGTTGAAAAAGGATACAGGCGTGTCTGAAAATTCCAGTTTTAAAATCTTTCTCTTTGTGCTTCGGTTTAGTCAAAAGTGCTACTAATATATAATAAATATTATTAGTCTTATTGACAATATTTTTATCATTTTAGTGTCTTTTTATTCCTCGCATTTCGTTAAACGGCCTATTAAACGCACATACACAAAGCTATTTATTTATGTGTGTGTGATCCCAAAACTTCGTAAGCACAAAAACTTTACTATTTACTCTATAAAAGGATCTTCATATGGTTCATATACAACTAATTACCCCCAACGATTCGATAAAAAAAGAACAGACATAATTTTGAAAAATGCTCAAAGCTTAATAAAAACAAAATCTTTGTGTTATTATTGAGAATAGAACGAAGAAAGAACAACAGATTTCTGCGTAAAAATTATATCTTTAAACCTTTTTAGAACCTTCAGAATTTTGGTTAAACAACTTGTTTCTTCAGTGTCAACATTCACGTTATATTCGTTAAGTAACTGTTACAGCTATGTCTCATTTAGAAAAAATTCCCAAACATAAGACTATCGATGAAGTTGTCAACACCTCATAAAAACACCCACCACCGAGTTAAAAACAAAACAAAACTTTAAGTATCGATTTTTTATGGTACCTATATATATATATATATATATATATATATATATATATATAGATAGATAGATAGATAGATAGATAGATAGATAGATAGATAATTGTTAATCTTCAAATAAAAACATCGAAAGCTTAAACGTGAGGTGATATTTTTTGAAAGCGGAAAAGATAGTTACGAATTTCTAGAATTCAAAGATTTTGATAGACTTATTAATTTTGAACAATTTTTCTTTTATTTACGGCTGTAGAATTGCGACAAAAAGCCAGAAACATTAAAATGAAATGTAAAATAGGCTCAAATTAGATTAGGATCCGTTGTTCTTTCTTCTCAATAATAACATAAAGATGTTGACGCTAAAACTGCTTTTATTAAGCTTTGAGCACTGTTAAAAATTATGTCTGTTCTTTTTGCATCGAATCGTTGGGGGTAATTAGTTGTATGTGATCCGTATGAAGATCCTTTTATAGCGTGAAACTTCAGTCATAGTAAAGTTTTTGTGCTTACGAAGTTTTGGGATCACACAGGCACACAAAAGCAAAAATATATATATATATTATAAATAATAAGCTAAAATTAACAATGAAAATATTTTCCTATAAGAAACCTTGACAGTTTCCGTGAAATTATCATCAGTCATTTAAGTACTTGAACGATCATACCTTTTTCGATTCATGACTGACTAGGCCGAAGCTTTTCCCACCGTAGGTTGCTATTTTTTCAGCGGTAGATTGGTTGCCAGTCAGTTATGTGCCATGCGGGATACACGCTTAGGCGATCATGTATCTTTCGATACCTGACTGACAAGGCAGATTTTTTCCCACAGTAGGTTGCCATTTCTTTCTGCGGTAGACCAGTTGCTATCCAATACTATAGATCGCGGTCTGTCCTGCTATTTACCCATAGCTGGGGGGAGAAGAATAGGATGATTCATACTTTTCCCAAGGGTATTAGCACGTAAGTGAATGTAATGACTGGAATTAGAACTTGGATCTCCGATTCCTCCACCGTGCCTCCTTATAGAACCCAATCTGTCCTGTTATTCAACCCATAGCTGGAGGGAGAACAGACGGATTCATACCTTTCCCAAGGGTATTTGCGCGTAAGTGAATGTAAGAAACTCGACTAGAATTCGATCTTGGCTCTCTAACGTATGTTACAGTGTAACCCGGATATAAGAGAGTTGTCGGATCGGGAAAAGAAGTCTCTTATATCCGGGTTTCTCTTATATCCGGGTTTGGTCTATTTTGTTTAGGTAAGTATGGGAACACTTTGGGACCAGAGAAAATCTCTCTTATATCCGGGTTTCTCTTATATCCGGGTCTCTTATATCTGGGTTACACTGTATTTTTCTTTGTGATTTAAATTCTATGTGTTTTTGTTTAAATATTTACATGCTAATGTTCGAAAAATTTTCCTTTTATTATTTTTAAATGAATTTTAAGCTTAAAACCTAAGGGTACGCCACACGGCGTGAAATATGGCATTAAAGGCGCCATTTTATTTTTTTCAATCTAAATACTGGACTCTGAATTAAGAGCATTGTTTACTTTCTTCTTTCTGATTCATGATGTTTGTCAGCGAGCAGGGACGAACAAAAAAAAAAAAAAAAAAAAAAAAACAGGAATCTCGTTTGATGGTTGTAAGTTGAGGAGGATCAACAAGACCCCGTGGGAATTAAACGCGAACGATCTCCTGACGGCTATGACAAGAGATGCCCCTGCTGTCAGCTGATGAGAGCCTTTCCTAAACTATGTGACAGGCCGACGTCAAAGCACAGGAAGCGATTCACGCGCCAGTTTACAAAATCGCTGTCCATTAAACATCAAGCCGACGACGAGTGATGATAGTGTTTACCAAGATAAAGGTCCTAAAGTGTACTTTTAATAGTATATTTCTGTGTCTACCAATTAGGTTTTATCCGCCATGTTGGATTCTCATGAGTTTTAGAAGAATCTGACTACATTGAGAATCCGCTCGAACTGTTAAACGCCATGTATAAGATCAGATCATGTTATTCAGGATGTAGGCGACCATGGTTCTCCACAACTTCCTATCCCTTGTATCTCTTTTGCCATTCAGACTCGGAAGGTAGATCACAAACTTAACAAAGAAAACCCTTTTCAATCAGAAACAACAATTTGGAACAAATAATGATTTCCTTTAGGATTTTTTTAGTCATATTTTGTATTATTTAGTATATTATTATAGTACATTAAATAAACTATTTCTTTTCTTATTCCGTACATACCTATTTTTAAGGTATATTTTAATGCAGAAAATTTTCTCAATAATTTCATGGTGCGTTCTTCTGATAGATCAGATTCGGAAGATAGATTGCAAACTTAAGTAACACCAACAAATAAAACCCTTTTCAATGAGAAACAACAATTTGGAAAAAATAATGATTTCCTTTAGGATTTTTTTAGTCATATTTCGTATTATTTGGTATAGTGATTTTCTAAGCGTGGCTTAGATGTGGCACAAGGCCGAAAGTATAGGACACCCAGGGAGGATCGAACTCACTACTCAGTCGTAATTGACCTAGCAAGATATGCTTTCTAACCATTACACCACGTCGAGGTGCCCACGTGTTATTTGGTATATTATTATCGTCGTCGACTCTCCGGTGGAATTCAACGTATGAGGGTCAAGCAGATCAGTTCCTTGGAAACCGAGAGCAGCACATGAGATTTGATTATAGTGGTGAAGTTTTCGTAAAGGGCCGAATACAGAGACCTGGTGCACTACGTGCTACAAGGTCCCCAAACGACCCTCTGCAGGTTTTGAATTCAGAGTTGTCCTTCTCCTAGACCAGTTGCCATCCAAAGCTATAGAACCCAGTCTGTCCTGCTATTCACACCTTTCCCAAGGGTATTAGCACGTAAGTGAATGTAATGGATTCGACTGGAATTCGAACTCGGCTCTCCGATTCCTCAATCCAAGCCGCTATCCATTACCGTGCACATAGTACATTAAATAATGACTATTTCTTTTTCTTGTCTTATTCCGTATATATCTATTTTTAAGATATATTTTAATGTAGAAAATTTTC